CATCTTTGGAGGGAGCTGAAACTCCGTGTTGCTCAGCAACAGCCCCGAAACCTGACAGATCTAGAGGAGATCTGTGTGGAGAAGTGGACCAAAATCCCTGTTGCAGTGTGTGCAAACCTCGTCAAGAACTACAGGAAACGTTTGACCTCTGTAATTGCAAACAAAGGCTTCTGTACCAAATATTAACACTGATTTTCTCAGGTGTTCAAATACTTATGTTCAGCAGTGCAAGACAAATAAATTATTTAAAAATCATACAATGTGATTTCCTGAATTTTTTTTTAAATTCTGTCTCTCAGAGTGGGAATGCACCTACAATGTGAATTTCAGACCCCTCCATGATTTCTAAGTGGGAGAACTTGCAAAATCTCAGGGTGTTCAAATACTTCTGTTCCCCACTGTATATATATGTATATATTCATGAATTCATAAACAGAATAAGACAACAAAACAGAAAAAAGACATAGGTAATCTAATGAATAGGGCACTATACAACATGAACAGAATATATCCTGAGAATAAAAATCAATATGCGCAATAAACCCAATATACTCCCAATATGCCCAATTATGCAGGTTTTAAACATTCAAAAGACATGTTTTAAGAACTATACCCATTTTACAGGACAAGAGCTAATATGTAGTTTCCATACATATAGAATAAGATCAAATACTCAGAATTTCACCTAACAAACACATGCTACTTTTACTTGTCCATAAATACACAACAGCAGACACTGAGAATTAAACCAGGCATACAGAACAAAAAAAGTGATACAATGCAATGTCCATACCCATAGGATATATTATTTATAATAATAATAATAATAATAATTGAATATTGTTTATAAATACCAAACAAAAAAAGACACCATTGCAGACATGAGAAGTACCTGCACAGAATCTATAAATGAACCATGAAAACAGATACTGAAAATGACACCCAGCATAGAGGACCATTGACAATCTACTGTGCAGAGACAATATATAGAGTACAATAACCAATATAGAAAATTACATCTAAAAATCAAAGCAAGAGAATTCTTTCTGTGTAGTGCCCATACATAGAAAATAAGAAAAGACACTGAAAATAAACTGAGAATGCATGATAAGTGAAGTGTTATTGTATACACAGCCATACATACAGAACAAGAACAAATACTAGATATTACACCAAACATTCCAGGAAAGAGAAGTAGTACTGTGCAGTATACATACATACATAATGAAAACAGGTACTGAAAATTACACACACCATACAGAGCAAGAGTGATGCTACTGTGCAGAGTCCCTGTATACCCAGCATACCTGGAAGTGAACTGCTACTGTGCATTGTCCATACATACAGAATAAGTACAGGTACTGAGAATTACTGCACACCCTGCATTCTGAGAAAGATAAGTGCTTCTATGCAGTGTCCATACAGAGAACAAGAGCATGTACTTAGAATTACACCTGGCAAGCAAAACAAGAAAAATATTACAGTGCAGTGTATCCATATAGGGTCAGATTTATCATGTGCACGGTAAGCCCATGCTTATAGGCAGCAAATGCAAAAGGTTGGCTTTTTTGTGTTTTTAAAGAATATGTAAACCCAACATTTCATATTCCTGATATGTACCTGCTGTACCATGTACCTGTATGAAAAAGTATACTGTTCTCTTTGTATTGCTTCCTTTGTGTGAAGTCCCTGGTGTTCCTGCCAGCCCCTCTGTGTTCATATTAAAAACTAACCACACTAAACAGGAGAACACACCGTGGCCAGTTGTCTATCTGTGCCAGGAACTCTATGATCACTCCTCCAATGATCAGACTGGTTCTGACACTCCCCTTTCCTGCACACCCTTTCACTGGGAAGATCAGTGTACCACTGTTTCTCCTCCCCCCACTCTTATGCAGCTGAAAACAGAGAGAATGTGATAACTTATTAAAAAAAAGAGAAAAAGGTGTATATAATTTGTTTTATATCTATTCACAAATGTTTTGCCTTTCATTTCCATAATAGGCATGGTATTGACACAGCTCAAGATGATCCACATTGGCTCACAACTGATATGATTCAAAAATATTTAGACAGAATAAAGGTGAATAAAGCACCTGGACTGGATGGCATACACCCACGAGTCCTTAAAGAATTGAGCTCTGCCATTTCAAAGCCATTGTTTCTTATTTTTAGGGACTCTTTAATGACTGGCATAGTACCACTGGATTGGTGTAAGGCCAATGTGGTGCCAATATTTAAAAAGGGGTCAAAATATTTACCAAGTAATTATAGACCTGTTAGTTTAACTTCTATAGTTGGGAAGATACTGGAGAGTTTAATAAAAGACCTCATAGATGAGTTCTTGCTGGAAAAAAATATTTTTAAGCAACAAACAGTATGGATTCATGAAAGACAGAAGTTGTTAAACAAATCTGAGTTCTTTTTATGAGGAGGTGAGCAAGACCTTGGACAGAGGGGTGGCGGTGGATGTGGTTCACTTGGATTTTGCAAAAGTGTTTTACACAGTTCCCCACACACGGCTAATGTGTAAGGTAAAGTCTACAGGCTTGGAAAAATCTTTATGTAAATGGATAGAAAACTGGCTAAAAAATTGTATTCAGAGAATGGTGGTTAATGATTCATACTCTGAATGGTCTAGGGTTGTCAGTGGTGTACCCCAAGGTTTTTTTAATATATTTATAAATGATATAGGGTCTGGGATTAAAAATCCCATTTCAGTCTTTGCAGATGACACCAAGCTTTGCAGTGGAATAATGTCCTTTACAGGATGTCTTCAACTTAAAAGCCGACCTCAATGCACTGTTTAATTGGGAAACTATGTGGTAAATGAGGTTTAATGTTGATAAATGTAAGGTTATACACTTGGGGGCTAAGAATATGCATGCATCATACATACTAGGGGGAGTACAACTGGGGGAATCAATGATGGAAAAGGATCTGGGGGTTCTGATAGATCACAAGCTTAATAATGGTATGCAATGCCAAGCTGTGGTTCCTAAAGTGAGCAAAATCCTCTCTTGTATTAAAAGAGGTATAGACTCCAGAGAAAAAGATATCATATTATCCTGTACAAATCATTAGTAGTACCTCATCTGTTCAGTTTTGAGCACCAATTCACAAAAAGAACGTTGGGGAACTGGAGAAAGTATAGAGAAGGGCAACCAAACTGATAAGAGGCATGGAGGAGCTCAGCTATGAGGAAAGATTAGAGGAACTGAATTTATTCTCTCTTGAGAAGAGGAGATTAAGGGGGGATATGAACAACATGTATAAATACATCAGTGGTTCATATAGTGAACTCAGTGTAGAGTTATTCACCCTGAGGTCATCACAGAGGACAAGGGGACACTCTTTATGTCTGGAGGAAACTAAATTTAATCTCCAAACATGGAAATGTTTTGTCACAGAGAGAGAGCTGAAAATGCGGAATAGACTCCCTCAAGAGTTGGTTCTGGCCAGCTCAGTGGATTGCTTTAAAAAAGGCCTGGATTCTTTCTTAGATACACAGAATATAACTAGATATAAAATTTATAGGTAAAGTTGATCCAGGGGAATATCCAATTGCCACTCGGGGGATCAGGAAGGAATTTTTTTCCCTGCAGGAGGAAATTGGACCATGCTTTGCTAGTGGTTTTTGCCTTCCTCTGGATCAACTGTGGTTATAGGATTATAACTTTGTTTTTTTTAATGGTTGAACTGGATGGACTTGTGTCTTTATTCAACCAGACTAACTTTGTAACTATGTAATTTCCATTTTAAACTGAATTGGTTGTTTTACAAGGTGAGGGTTTACAATCAATTTAACTCATTTTGTTTCAGTGATCAGTACAAACAGCTCATATAGGGTTATTTATATATTATCCTGCTGTGCTAAAATCCTGGCTAGGAACAGAAAAACAAGTAAATGTTTAGTGTAAAAGATTCTACCAGAGGGGTGTTACTAAAGGTATCAAAAGTTGGGTGTCTGCAGGCTTCAGTGATGAGAATTCAGCCCATATATGAAAGCTGTAAAACATCAGACAAAGTAAAACGGCAAAACTATGTTTTATATAAACTACTTGGGTTAACACACCTGTGAGCAGAAGGTATTTGACAAAAGCTGTTTTTAGACTCAGAGCGAAGACAATTTTAACACACTGGGGAAACTACCTTACTCTGTAGAAGTATTAAGCAAGCAGTATAAAACACCGTCAGTCAGGAAAGTTGTCTGCTTCCACATACCAAAATAACAATTCTGGCTCAGAAGTGATTTAAAGTTTATCCTGAGCTCCTTACACTGCACTGTTCGTGTGTCTTTACTGCAAAAATAGCATTTAACCACATCAGCTCTAGAAGATTTACCCCCCGTCATGACCAGGACATTTTTTGCTATACTAGGCGCAGCTCTAATTCAATTGGTAATTATGTGGTCATGCAACGCTGTATCCAAATGAAATTTATGTCCTTTTTTTCACACAAATAGAGCTTTCTTTTGGTGATATTTTATTACCACTGGGTTTTTTTATTTTTTGTGATGTAAATGAGAAAAGAAAAAATTATATTTCCTACTTTTGGTTATATTAAATATCCAATAGTTACATTGTTAGTCTGGCTGAAAAAAGACAAAAGTTCATCCAGTTTGACCAAAAAAAAGTCAAAATCCTATACCCACAGTTGATACAGAGGAAGGCAAAAAAAAAAACCCAGCAAAGCATGAACCAATTTGCTCCTCCAAGGGAAAAAAATTCCTTCCTGATCTCCCGAGAGGCAATCGGATATTCCATGGTTCAACTTTAGCTATAAATGCTATAAATGTTAGCATCCAGTTATATTGTGTGTATCTAGGAAAGAATCCAGGCCTTTTTTAACCACTTGGAAACCACGCTATAGCCGAATGACGGCTACGGCTACAGTGAGGTTGTTCAGTTCTGGGAGGGCACCATATGACGTCCTCCCAAAACGCGCCCTCCCACGCACCCCCGGCAATCTCCGTGATCGCTGTGTCCTACGGACACAGCTGATCACGTGATGTGTTAAAAGGCCAATCACAGCGGTCTTTTACCACGTGATCAGCTGTGTCCAATGACACAGCAGATCACCGGTAAATGCAGTTACCAGTTATCAGCTGCACTTTCCTCATGCTGTCACTGGCAATTGTCAGAGGACGGATCGGCACCGATCATCAGGGCACTAATGATCAGTGCCCTGATGATCAGTGCCACCCACCAGTACCTCCCACCTGTACCCAGCAGTGCCGTCCACCTGTGCCCATCAGTGCCACCCACCTGTGCCCATCAGTGCCACCCACCTGTGCCCATCAGTGCATAGTAGTGCCACCCACCTGTGCCCAGCAGTGTCGGCCAGCGTTGCCCCCCCCTCAGGGCTGCCCAGCAGTACCACCCGTTAGTGCCACCAGTCAGTGCTGCCTATCAGTGCCCATCATTGTTGCATAACAGTGCAGCATCATCAGTGCCAGCTCATCAGAGCTGCCTATCAGTGCTGCCTATCAGTGCCCATCAGTGCTGCCTATCCATGCCACCTCATCAGTGCTGCCTATTAGTGCCCATCAGTGCCCATCAGTATTGCCTATCAGTGCAGCCTCATCACGCACATCAGTGAAGGACAAAAATTACCTGTTTGCAAAATGTTATAATAGAAACAAAGAAAAACTTTTTTTTTTTTCAAATGTTTTGCATTTTTTTTTGTTTATAGCGCAAAAAATAAAATACCCTGCGGTGATTAAATACCAGCAAAACAAAGCTCTATTTGTTTGAAAAAAAATGATAAAACATAAAAAGACCGCGCAATTGTCATTCAAAGTGCAGCAGCGCTGGAAGCTGAAAATTGGCCTGGGCAAGAAGGGGGTATAAGTGCCTGGTAGGCAAGTGGTTAAAGCAATCCACTGAGCTGGCCAGAACCAACTCTTGAGGGAGTCTAAAGGCACAAGACCAGGGCACTGTAAAATGTAAACTCAAACCCTTCCAGGGAAAACTATATTACAGTAGTACTGAGACAGAGTAGAGAGGTGATCCACATTTCCACAAGACTGCTGTGTAGTAATTAACCCTTCCAGGGAAAGCTATTTACAGTAGTACTGAGACAGAGTAAGATATTGCTAACTTATAGGGTTGTGCAGGGAATCATCCATGTCCTCTCCCAGCCATGGCTGTCTACAGACAACTGCTCCTGAAAATGACATCACATGATCAGGTCTCTGAAGTCTGTGCTAGCTAAAACCAGAAATGCATGCTGCCCTATGCAGCCTCAAGTCAATCTGTTTCATAGGGTAGTGTCATACTCTGTCCAAATTATATTAATTACAAAGTTCATTATTATCCCCAAAACTTTATAAAGGCTATATCAGTTATGTATGTGGAATGTCCAAACACATGATACTAATTGAAAAATCAACACCTACTTTTAATCACTTGACCTCCAGAAGGTTTTACCTCCTTCATGACCAGGACATTTTGTACTGTTCAGAACTGTACTACTTTAACTGGCAACTGCTCTGTCATACAACACCGTACCCAAATTAAATTTGTATCATTTTTTTTTTTCACACAAATAGAGCTTTCTTTTGCTGGTATTTAATCAATACTGGGTTTTTATATTTTGCTATATGAACAAAAAAATACCAAAAAAACTGTGAAAATACAAACACATTTTTCTAAGTTTCTGCAAATAAATAATCTTACTTTTTAAATTTAAGCCAAAATATATTCTGCTACATTTCTTTGGTAAAAATAACCCAAACCACATAATATTTAGTCTGCATGAAAGAATCTGCAAACTATGGAATTTACAGTGAGGAACAGAAGTATTTGAACACCCTGCGATTTTGCAAGTTCTCCCACTTAGAAATCATGGAGGGGTCTGAAATTCACATTGTAGGTGCATTCCCACTTTGAGAAACAGAATTTAAAAAAAAAATTCAGGAAATCAAATTGTATGATTTTTAAAGTATGTATTTGTCTTGCACTGCTGAACATAAGTATTTGAACACCTGAGAAAATCAGTGTTAATATTTGGTACAGAAGCCTTTGTTTGCAATTACAGAGGTCAAACGTTTCCTGTAGTTCTTGACCAGGGGCGGACTGACCATTTGGAAACTCGGACACTGCCCGAGGGCCCGGGGTCAGTAGGGGGCCCCAAGAGATGCCCCTGGTACCTTTTTCATAGGCTTTTTCGAGTTTGGGCAAGGACACAGGGGCCCCATGATCCCCTATTGCCCGGGGGCCCCATGAGTTGTCAGTCCGCCCCTGCACACAGTGCAACAGGGATTTTGACTCACTCCTCCACACAGATCTCCTCTAGATCTGTCAGGTTTTGGGGCTGTCGCTGAGCAACCTCCAAAGATGTTCTATTGGATTTAGGTCTGGAGACTGGCTAGGCCACTCCAGAACCTTGATATTCTTCTTACGGAGCCACTCCTTGGTTATCCTGGCTGTGTGCTTCGGGTCGTTGTCATGTTGGAAGACCTAGCCACGACCCATCTTCAATGCTCTGACTGAGGGAAGGAGGTTGTTGCTCAAAATCTAACAATAAATGGCCCCATTTATCCTCTACTTAATGCAGTGCAGTTGTCCTGTCCCCTTCACAGAAAAGCACCCCCATAGCATGATGTTACCACCCCCATGCTTCACAGTAGGGATGGTGTTCTTGGGATGCAACTCATCCTTCTTTTTCCTCCAAACACGACGAGTGAAGTTTAGATCAAAAAGTTCTACTTTGGTCTCATCTGACCACATGACTTTCTCCAATGCCTCTTCTGGATCATCCAGATGGTCATTGGCAAACTTCAGATGGGCCTGGACATGTGATGACTTGAGCAGGGGAATCTTCCGTGCAATGCATGATTTGAAACCATGACGGCGTAGTGTTCTACCGACAGTGACCTTTGAAACTGTGGTCCCAGCTCTCTTCATGTCATAGACCAGCTCCTCCCTTGTAGTTCTGGGCTGATTCCTCACCTTTCTTATCATCAGTGATACCCCATGAGGTGAGATCTTGCATGGAGCCCCAGGCCGAGTGAGACTGACAGTCGTCTTTAGCCTCTTCCATTTTCTAACAATTGCTCCAACAGTTGATCTATTTTCACCAAGCTGCTTGGCAATTGCCCCGTAGCCCTTTCCAGCCTTGTGGAGGTCCACAATTTTGTCTCTGGTGTCTTTTGACAGCTCTTTGGTCTTGCCCATGGTAGTAGTTGGTGTCTGACTGACTGTGGGGTGGACAGGTGTCTTTAAAGAGCTCAGACAGGTGATACTAAGTTAGATTAATGAGTGGAGTAGAGGTGGACTTTTTAGAGGCACAGTAACAGGCCTTTGAGAGCCAGAATTCTTGCTGTTTCTTAGGTGTTCAAATACTTATGTTCAGCAGTGCAAGACAAATAAATTCTTTAAAAATCATACAATGTGATTTCCTGAATTGTTTTTTAATTCTGTCTCTCAGAGTGGGAATGCACCTACAATGTGAATTTCAGACCCCTCCATGATTTCTAAGTGGGAGAACGTGCAAAATCGCAGGGTGTTCAAATACTTCTGTTCCTCACTGTATATTTGAAAATTGATCAGTTCTGATGTACTGACTGCTTATCTCATTTCTTGAGGCCCTAAAATGCCAGAGCAGTACAAATACCCCCCAAATGCCCCCTTTTTGGAAAGTAGACAGTCCAAGGTGTTTTGTAAGAGGCATGGCAAGTTTTTTGAAGTTGTAATTTTTTTCTCACATTTTGGAAAATGAGGAATTAAATAAAATGTGTTTTTTTTAACATACCAGTGCACTATCACATCATCATATGACTGGTGTGGCAGTGATCAGGGATACAGTATATAAAGAAAAATAAATAAATATATATTTTTTAATTTTTAAACATTTTTTTTAAATGTTTTTCTCTTGTTTTACTTTTTTTTTTACATACTTTCATCAGAGTAGTGCCATAGTGACACTGTAACACTCTAAAGGGCTTTAATCAGGGATGTTCTCTTCACACTGTTATTGCTTATAACATTGAAATTACTGTTATAAGCAATAGTTTTAGCTGTCTTAGTTTCAGCTTACTTATTGGTGACATGGTGTAATTGGATACAGCTAATCACATGGTACAGGTAGTCGGGTACCATGTGATAGCTGTGGGCCAATCACAGCATCAGAACAGTAATCAAGCTGTCATTAATGGAAACCCATTCATGACACTTTGCTTACATAAATATCATGTGATCGCTATGATTGGTCATAGCAATTACAGGACACCACAGCTGCTCTTAGCATGCTGTGAAACCTACCCACAGTAAATGTACTGTGGGCAGGTGGCAAGTGGTTAAAAACAACGGGATGATGTTCTTGCAAATGACAGTATTCATTTATAAAATGGATGTGTTTTTGTATGCCAAACTTCCTTATGTGTTTGGAATTTTTTTGAGTAACACACAGTTTTACTTTGCTAATAGCTTTTATTTACAAGTTAATTAAAATCACAAATGTTTTGCCTTAAAAGAAGCAGTGCTTAATTTTCTGCTGAATTTTGCCTGAGGAACATCTGTCTTAAGCATTCAGCATTAATCAGCCAGCACACTGGGAATCCATTTGCCTTGGTACCATTTTTTACATATTTGCAATGTCCTGGTAACATTATTAACTCGACACTTATTGCACCAAGTTTGTCAGGATTAAAAAATACAAAAAAATTAACTCTCAATTGGGCGATGAATCCCATAGCTTGCTGTGACTTCAGAAATAATACTCGCTCTGTTTCATCATAATTTTCCACTTTAGGGATCGTTCATACCAGTTCCAACATAAGAACAACACAATTTGGCTTTTGCATTTATGGCTTCATACACCAACATGCTGAAAAAAATATAGGACATATGCACTGCAATGAAACACACTGCACCACATAGAATTAACATAGAATTAACAGAAAGATGATGAAAGAAGAAAGAAAGACGATGAAAGAAGAAAAAAAAAACAAGCACTGCAATGCATTATAAAAGCTCATCGCAGCACTCATCCATATCACATGCTAGCAAATACAAATGTGTGTGTTGTCAATTAGCCATTATGACCATTATGACATTTAAAATAATTTTTAAAATGCTTTCAAATGATTGCTATGTGTTTTTTTTTATAACTTTACTTAACTCTTTATCAAATCTGTCATCTTTTATCAATTCTCTTATCTAAGGATCTACAATAATACCTCCTAAATCTGAAGATCACTCATTTTCTGCATTTTCTCTGTGAAATGTATTCCTCAATGATTTCTGTTTCTTTCTTATCCATTGCTTTAACAAACTTTCAGGAGTGCCAATTTGATGTGCAAAGCAAAAGGTTAAACCTTTTCAGGGTCAACACATAGGTGATTTACTAAATTATTTTTTGTTGGCACAA